ACACACACACACACACACACACACACACACACACACACACACACACAGTCACCATGTCTGTGCTGGGAGTGTGTTTACCAGTGTCAGACCCTGAGTGTCCACAGTGAATGTATTTCTAACAGTGTTGAGTATGATCATTATTCCTGTTTTATCGATGTTGAGGTTCTGTGTGAGAGAGGGAGGAGCCACATGTGTAGCTGTCCTCGAGCCCGGGTAAAAAAAAAAAAAAAAGCATTTTAAAAATGTCTATTCTTGTGATTTCAAAGAGGTTTTCTTGATTTCACTTCTTTGACACTTAACCTGAACTAATGGGAAAGCGCTGCCGGGGAAATTGGTCGAATCGAGTGCTCCTTTAAAATATTTAAAAGATATTTACTCCTCACACACACGAGGAGTAAACTCACACATATTTATGTAAACACACAAAACGAGAAAGCACTCTTATTTTAGAGTGTCTACACACTGTTCGATATTCCTGCTCTTGCTCATTATTATATATTTAAGTGCACAACGCTTTCAGTGCATTTTGGAAACGTGTATTTTTTCTATACACAGATTCTTTTGTAGAAAATAAAAATAGTAAAACTTGGTTAAAGTTAGCTGTTACTAGAAAGTGGTCTTTTTCCACCACTTCAAACCTTTGCTGCAACAAAAACAACCAACCACAGGAAGTACTCTGGATCAGCTTTTACCGAAAGCAATGCGAACTCGCTGCTGTTTGTGGTGCGATTGTCTCCTGATGTGTGTTTGTCACGGTGTGTGTGTGAGATGAGTGAATGTGTCGGCCAGCGTAGTGCAGTCTGGTATAAAACTCACCCTGAAGTCTGTGTGTCCCGATACACACCGCTAGGTTCTCCAACGTCGGCATCAAGTATGTTTTGTTTTTTTTAAGTGTAGTTCAAGTTCCAACGGCTTTATCTGCTCAGAATGAACTTCTGAAGGAGCACAAAGTGTCAGAGAAATCAAATAGATATGATATAAACAATAATCTCATTTCATATAATTTTTTACAAGAACAATGGCTTGGATTGAAATGAATGGATGGATATTGTTATTACCGTATTGATTCTTAACACAGTCACCTTGTGTATGGACGGGTGTGACAGAGGAGCCATCAGGAGAGAAGAGTGAATTGTCTCTCTGCAGGATTCTAGCTCATCTAAATGTATTGTCGCACATTACACTTTCCTCAAGTGCTTAAAATGAATTTGATTCCAAGTGTTGCAAATTAGTAATGACCCATTCATCAAACTATAATGATTTCACTCCAATGAATTGATTTTGTGACGTAAAAAGTATTCTGTCATCAAAGTGAGCCTCAGCACTCAAGACGTAGACGTAGCAGCATGAAGCAGACGAGGGCGGCCAATAGAAATCCCTCTAAAGAGTTTCATAATCTCACATTAAACCCTCTTAGAAGTAGGCGGTGATATGATGCAACTTCTGCGAGATCGAGTGACTCTGAAGTCACACCAGTGCCGATGTAGATATTAACATTCATTTTATTTTGTACAACTTCCACAGGCAAACCTCGATTCTCGGAGTAGCGTCACGTCTCCAACTCTATTTTCTACGCCCATAGAATGAAATATTTTCCGAAGCATTTTCTGTACAACAGGAGCCAAAAGAAAAACCAAGATGAAAATAATATATATTTGTAAACTATACAAACATTTGAACAGAACTTCAATGAGAAGCTTTGTTTTCTGTCCGTTCAGCTGTGAATGTTGATGTCAAGAGCTGGTCTACTATTGGAGGTTGAATAAAGGAATTCAAACCAAAATGAAGCCTTTACCAAAGCGAGCATCTTGTTTAATCAAGTGAGCAGTTGGTCAGGCTGTTTGATCTCATCGGCCACCAGCTGATGTGTAATCCAAAGTGTTTCCTGTGGCCTCGCTGCATTTGTTTCAGTCCCGTTGTTACTTGAGAACCTCGTCTCTCCTCACAGAAAACACAGAACAGCCCGTAAACCGTGACCAGTAGTTTGGACACACGCATCAAAGAGGACATTTTCTGTCATTTAGTTTCAATAACTGAACCTTCACTTCCATCAGCGATGGGAGGACTTTGGGAAATAGTGTGCTGGGACGTGTCTGCCTGTCTTCTAACCTTTGCTTAAACACTAACGTACGCAGTTGATTTAGATTTACCTTCAGTAGGCCGACGCTTAACGTACGCTTTAGACCCGTCTCTCTGTCTCATTGTAGTTTCCTGTATTTTTATAAGAGAAAAGCCTAAATACAACTGAATCTCCTCATGAACATAACCAGAGCAAGTGCGCTGTGATTACTCCTGTTATGCAATAAGTTAGCTTTATCTACCAAAGGAACATTTTGACAATGGTTGTGTAGTGCTCTTACATGTATCATCATGATCAAGACTGACATCTTTAAAGTGTTTTAAAAGGGGAACAAAAACAAGGATGTTTTTGGCAAAAGTACGGTTTGTCTTCCTGCCTTTTAATGTGCCCGAGTCCAAACAAATCCCTCATCACGTCTCTGTTTTAATTCTGCTAAAGGAAAGCAACGGTAACAATAACTCTTTTGACTAATCAGTCCCTTCTCTTTGCTGATCACTAGTTTTATTTTTTAGGGAGAATGACTGTGCCTTTGCCAGAAAGCTGCTGTTGCTTTTCCCCTTTTCCCCCCAAAGCTCAGGGTGTGATGTGGTGCAGAACTTGTTTAGTGCAATATCTGATAGATGCCCAGCGCTTCACACCATTCTATGTATGAAAGAAGCGATCAGACGCTTCTAGGTGGAGGAATTAAGTGAGTGAGAATTCAGTGTTTACTCTCCGCTCATCGACTGAAGAAAAACATTTCCTAAATGCCAGAAATCCCAGAGAAAAATGCTATATTTAAAACCAGGACTACCATATTTTCCTACAGTTTTATGGCTTTTAAGTTTGTGTCATGGTTGTCAATCCAATGTGTCTGCAATAATCGAGTTAACACTTCCTTAACATCCCCGTGTACCTCAGGTGTCTTTCATCCTCAGCATCCGCTCCAGCAACGCCTCTAGTCTCCCGCGTATGTTTGTTTTTAAATGTCCAGTTGATGAATGTGATGTGTTCTCAATACTGTTCATTCTGTTTAACTTAGCACTGTAAACATTCCAGTCCATCTCAACAGCCAATGAAAACCACAAAAAACCTTTTTCAAATCTGTCATTTCATCTGCATCCCTTTGTTATAAGCATCTAAATAATATTAAATATATATCAACTGTATATTTGACTTTTGTAAAATAAATCTAACCAAAAAAAATGAGCAAGCTCTGAAGTCTGTGTCGCCTTGTTCTCCAAAATAAATACCTGCTGATGTATACCAATAACCTTTACAGATTATTGGTCCTTTTTTTTAGGCCGTCTGGTACTTCTAGTAATTCTGATGGATCTAGAATCCAAATGTAGCCTCCACCAGCCTGAGTTTATCATGTTAAATGTTTACGTCGTGTTTTGTTTTCAGCGTGGTCATGAAGTCTGGAAACAAAACGCAGCAGCATTCTACTCTACGACTTCTTCATGACAAAGTGTAGACTACTGTGACCTTTTTTTTTTTTAAGTACTTTGTTTACCGATGTCCAGCAAAAGTCAGGGCTCACCAGTAGTGGGTGATGTTCTTGAGCCAGACCACGAAACTAGCCCTAGGAGACCTTCCAGAACCTTCAGGCCCGGTTTACATCTGCCCCCATCCTTCACGTTCCTGACCCTGAGAGATAGTTTGCTGTCGAGTTGACTTGACGTTGGGGGCTGGAGCCATCTTGTCCAATTGGGCTGCTGATGACCAGAAGCTCCCCTGCGCCTCCTTTTCAAGGAGACTTTCCCCGGCTGAAAAGAACGACATTGGGAAGTGGAAACTGCTGGCTCCAGGGGACCAAGCTGTCCTCCTTAGCCTGATCTTAGACAGATCATAAAAACCTCGAGTATATCCAGTCCGCCGAAAGACTAAACTCACAACAATCTTGTTTACAAGATTGAGGTTCTCTCTCTCTCCTACCGGCCAAAGTCAAGTCTGCCGCTCTTTACCACCAGTTTGTGGGGAAGGAGGTCTCCGCACCGGCCCCGACACCATCCTTCCCGTTCCAGGTCTGGTAGCTTCGCTCACCTAGGAGGTGGCGTTAAGGCCACCCTAGAGGATCAGCCTGGTCCCAGCTCATGCCCTCCAAACCGCCCCTTGAACACTACTCATTCTAACTAACTCTTCAGATGTCTGGCCACTGGAGTCGTATATAAAAACTGCATTCAGCCACAGGGTTGGATTCTCAACCTTAGTGGGCATTGAGAAAAACTCAAAAGCAGCTTTTGCTCCTCAGAGAAAAATAAAAATCTTCCCAGGCTATTAAAACGCAAGTTCGAATTTACTAGTTTTCTTACAAAGACATAAATCCTTGTCTATAAACTGGAATAAGCAAATGATAAATTACTTTATGATTTATCGATCCAGATAGTTGCAGATTACATTTGTGTTTCAGCTGTTGGAAAGACAAAGGAACGATGTTGCATTAGTCGGTCTCTGAATACCTTCGGACTTCCCAAACCGGTGTAGCTTCAGCTTCAGGTCACTTTCTGAACAAACACAAAGTTGGTGCCCCTTTGAGTATTTACGGCAGCAGGACATCGTGAGCGGGATAGATTGAAAAACGTCAGATGTTCATGGTGATGAAGGAACAGTGCAATGAAACCACAGTAAGCATTTCAGTTTTTAAAACTTTTTTATTGTTTTTAAATTTTTTTGCTCATTTTTTAAATTATTTATATTATCTACAAAGTAAAAGTTTTAACTTAAAAGTTACATAAGGGTCGGGTGAGAAGTGGGATCTGATCACCTCAGCCATTATAATTTCATAAATAACGTTTCTCCTGTCCTCTTGGCTGCCAAAACAGGTTTAATTCACAGGAAGCTTCTCGTCACCTTGCTTTTTTAGTTTGGTTAGAAACCTGTCAACAAACGCAGCACATAGCAGCAGCAATAAACAGTAAGATTAATACTGTCTAAATGTTGGAAGATTCTCTCTTTTTTTTCTTTTTTAGAACAAGGTGCAGACAAAATACAAGTTCCAGTTGAATTTTCCTCTTCACTCTCTGATTAGTTTCTCTCATTCTCTCTTTCACGTCTTACTTGGCAAGCTGACTCAAGTTGCAATTTTGGGACCCCTGAAAGCGTGTGGGTGTTCTGTTTGTGTGTTCATCTCTGTGTGTGTGTGTGTGTGTTTGCAGATGTCTGCATGTGATCGGGGAGGAGGAGGCTGAATATGAGCAGTCTTGCCTGTTAAAACTCTCTAGCTTGTTAAAACATGTCACTGCATCAACCTGATGGACATTCTCTTATTGCCTAGTCTGGAAGGGAGGGAGGGGAAGAAAGAAAAGCTGATGTGAAGCATGTCTGGTGAGGATGAGGGAGGGAAGGAGAGGAGAGGAGAGGAGAGGAGAGGAGAGGAGAGGGAGGGAGGGCTCTGATTCTCTTCATCGCCTGGTTATGAAGGCTCTGGTTGAGAAGCGTGACGCAGAGCGAGTCCCTCGGCTCACTGGTGCCCTCTATCTACAGCTGCTGCTGATGATGGGCTTGCACTGCACAGACGAGACAAAATGGGGGAAATTTCACAGTTCATGGATTTAGAGATTGTCCACAATTAAACCGTTAAGGAATAGATCTCAGCGATGTGGCTGACATCGGAAGGCATTCACTTCAACTAATAGGTTCTATTAGTTGCGTGTTGAATGCGTGTCTTAAAGCAATATTTAAACACCCACATTAAAAAAAGATGAAAGCGGTTTTGCTTGCTGTAATAACTTCTCCGGATCATACTACACATTAAGAGATCACAGTCCTCATTCAAGTCAAGTGAAAACAATACAAGGCTTCAGCAGACAAACCGAGTGAGTGTCTTGTTTACATACTTTGACCTCAGAGAAATGGCCACATGAAAGCAGGGAGCAATTCCACTCTGTAGCCGTTTTTTGAACGGCGTGGAGCAACACATAAATTCCTGACTCCACCCTGCAGCAGTGCGATACTTCGATACACTAAACATACCTTGTGGATGTGCCAGGTAGGAGAAATGTGTGGTGGAGGAAACGGGTATGGGGTTGAGGGCATTCTGGGGCATGGCTTGCTGCGGACCGCCTGGAGGACCCTGGGTAGCCATCAGCATCATAGTGGGGTGGGTCTGCCCCGGGTGGTGAGACTGCACCATACCAGACTGCATATGGGCCTAGGAATGAGAGAAAGTGTGTGTGTGTTTGTGAGAATGAAACAGAAGTGTGACAGAAAGTGAGAAGGATACGGAGCATCAACACCACAACATTCACAGCTCTTGCCTGTATGTTACTGACAGGAGCAGCATGAGTAGATACTCTATAGTTATGACCAGGAGACAGTTTCTGGGTGTGGAGCATGAAATGAGGCGTTAAGTATAGCATCCCTCTGGCAAACACTACTTAAAAGCCAGACTGAGCCAAGTTCTACATTCAGTTAGTTTGAACAGAAGTTAACGGAGTTAAAGCAAGTTTGCAGGCGTTCTACCGATTTATACCCACAGAGAGAAAGATGCACAGTCACTGTGACGGAAGCTAGTTACACCATGTAAGACACTGCTCACTTGACCGGTGCTGAAAGCAGGTTGTGACCCACCTGCTGCACGTGTGCCATGTGATTGTGGTTGTAGCCGTGCTGCACCTGCTGCGGGTGGATATAGACAGTCTGCTGGGCAGAGGGGAACGAGGCCTGGGGAGACTGGGGATTGGGCCCCGGGGTCATGGAGGGAGGAGTGGGGGCCAAGGCAGAGTACATCTGCTGCTGTTGGGGCTGGTTGGCCAGGTGGAGGGCCTGGGCTGCTGCTGCCGCTGTGACACATGAGAACACACCAATAGAAACACAATACGAGAGCTCCATTCTAAACATTTCTTCTCCTGCAGCTGGTCGCCGATGAGCTCTGTGAGGGCACCTCTCGCCCACACCAGGCATACGTAGTACTGCGGAGGACTGCGTGTAATATGCATTTATTTTACCAATTGGACTCTTCATTTTCAAATCCTTTGTAAGGCCATCTTTGATTTATTTGATAGGCATGATTCAATAGTTCCATATAAGTTTGGCCCAACACTATATGGCCGGAAAAGAAATGATAGAAATGATGGAAGAGTTGGATGATAAGGAGGAGCTCCTGTGCCCAGAGTTAATAAGGTGGTTGTTGTAACAGATGTAAAGTACTTGTCTGTTCGGGTTACGGGTTTGTCTCAGTTCTGCAGACTGTCTATGCAAGCTTTTCCGCAGAAGTATAAATTAGGCACGAGGCAGGCAACCTCACCTGCTGCTGCTTGCTGGTGCTGTTGGTGCTGCTGGACTGGGCTGGCAGCTGGGTGGTTAGGAGGACCTCCGTGTTGTTGTGGACCACCCTGCTGGCCTTGGCCTGTAGGTGTGGCAGAGGGCTGGGGATGCTGTTGGTGAGGGTGCAAGGTGGCGTTGGGGTGGGAGTACTGCTGAGGCATTGGCCCTTGAGACACTGCGAGACATTAAGGATGAAAGGTTTTTTAAAAAACAGTAAAATCTAAATGAGCTGCACATTTTGGCCTGCAAAGGAACACAGACAAAGGGTGCGCTGACATACCATACATGGTGTGTGTCTGCTCCGGGTACTGTGTAGTTGAGGAAGAGACGAGCGTGGGTTGGCCGTGTGTGGGAGGCGCCATCATCCTGGCACTGCCCTGCATCACCGGACTGAACACGTGCTGCGCCTGGAGAACACACGGACAGACAGAAGACGGACAACATCAGCATTAAGTCAATCATTTTGGTATTGGTACCAAACCTCAAGTACTGTAATGTCATTCATAATGTACATATCTAACTCAGTAGGCTTTGCGGATTTTTGTTTTATTATGTTGCCCATAAGCACCCTGAAGCCAATCTCCTAACCACCTCTGTGTTCCTGTTACATCACAGCCTGATCGCAAACAAGGTCACAACACTTCAGGTGTAAGAGCCTGCAGTCAGCTCCACAACTCAGACATGAGGCTACGCTGGCGTTGTGCTGGTATTCTGTCAAGCTGCTGGACCGCGAGCATCTGTTAGACAAACGGCTGACTGGTGTACAGCTGGAAGAGATAAAGACTGCCAGGACTAACCGACGGACTGCTGAATAAGCCGCCCAAGGTTGTATTGCTGTACTACAATCTTACCTGTGACTGGTAATGTGTCATCTGCTGGACCAGTGGCTGACTGGTGAACTGCTGCGGGCTGCAGGTGAAGTATTGGGCAGAGTAAGCGGGGCTCTGAGCTACAATAGGGGGTCCTGCGGCCGTCGCTGGGTGCATCATGGTGGGCGTGCCTTGCGGGTGGTGCTGGTCTGACCTCTGCTGGGGCATGTTGGGTACTGGAGAATCATGTATAGAGCTTTCATCAACATCCCTTTAAAACAACTGCAGAGAATCATGGAGTCTGAAAAGGTACTGCTAGTTTGAAAGGCTTTTTACAAAATCTGGCCTGAATACAAGACGACTTGCTATAAGATAACCCTCCTTTTTTCAACCCGTCTCTCTGAAGAGGAGTAGCATTTGGTCAGATCCTTTACAGAGCTCATTTCTGTAGCCTTTCCTCTTGTACAAGTGAAAGTAATTGATGCATGTAATGAATCCCACACTGATGTAGCTCATCCAAGTTAAGTGCAACTATTCCTTCATTCAGTTTCACAGTTTTTGCACTTGTGTTAACATCAGTATCCAATACTTGTGTAAGCACTGTTGGTGCATTACTGCTGTATTTCTTCTGCCTGGGTGGTATAAAGCCATATACAGTATACACTGGCTTGTGTCTGACTGTTGCTGTGAATGGTTTCACTGCGCGCACACACACACACACACACACACACACACACACACAGAGAGAGAGACAGAGAGAGAGAGAGAGAGAGAGAGAGAGAGAGAGATGAGAGAGAGAGATGAGAGAACGCCATATTCTCACCTTTACCTGGTCTGTAGGGTTTAGACTGACTGACTGTCATATGAGGCATCTGAACCTGGTACATAGCTGGAGACTGGAGCGAGGACGAGGATGGCAGAAAAAAAAAAAAAACATGTTTACACTCAAACTTCTCAAGACACTTCAGCATCATTTCTACAAGAATAAAAAAAACACAGCCCTTGACCAAAAACAAGTGCATTCTTGGGTATTTGTGTGGGACTACTGTTACTACCCGTCTGTGGGGCTGGACACCAACTATTCAGCTTGTAGGGTTAGTAGCCAACCCCTCACATACATACAAAAAGCATTTATTAAAAACACTTGTGCGCATGTGAGATTGGGGGAATTATGTCTTACCTGGGGCCACATGCATTTTCTATGCCCGTCTATCATTGGGCAGAAACGGGTGTTTTACAACTAGGACCCAAACACTGCTTGTCATCTTCCATTCCTTCACTCTTTAACGTTACACACCATGCACTTACATTACAAACAGCACTGCAGCAGACACAAAGGGGCTCAAACTCTTATTAGCTTACAGTCATTTGTTTGTTAAACAGAAATAAGATGAAGTTATAAGTCCATCTGTGATGACAGTTTAGAATGAATTGCAATAAGAAGTTGGCAAACCAACATCTGATGGCAGTTATTCAACAAGCAAGAAAAGAACACCTCAGTACTGATTGGTCTTACAGAAAAAACAAAAAAGGATTTAAAAAATTCACAAACCTTCCATATTATGCTTTTCTAATGGAGCGAGAGAGAGAGAGGAAGAGGAGGAGGGGGAGAAAAGGAAAAATAATCACTCTTTAGTTGTTAACCAAGGTATTTTATCACTATCACGTGTCTGATGTTGGATCACTAAGTTTTTCTTAAAGCAACACAAGAATATAGATTTACAACTAAAGATGTAATAGCTTTCATCCAAAATATGCTTAAAACCTTTAACGAGTCACTGACATCATGTGGTAAACACATTCCATATATTTCCTCCTTTCTTTAAACATTTCAAAGCTAGTTATCCCAAATATAACCCAAAACATGTTTTAATAATTCAGACAAACGGTGTCTGGAAGATGACGGGGGAGAGAAAAGTGAAGAAGTGATGTTCTGTATATTAAGGTGCACAAAGAAAACTAAATAACCACTAAATGAGTGCGTGCAGCCTATTAAAATGGAAATGTTGGCATGCATTGAAAAATTAATCAAAGCCAGAAAAGGAGAGGAAAATACCAATGAGGACAAACACAAGCAGCCACGTTGGGAGACCTCATGGTGATGGTTGTTAGGGGTTTGTTTTCATGAGCTTTGCATTTCATACTGATTTAATGTGATACTTTAGGGTGATCCGCACTGAAAAGAAACAAAAATGGCATTTGTCTTCGTACTCGAATTTCGTGATGCAGGCGTGTGTCTCACCTGCACTCCAGGGCTGACTGGTGTGAGGGGATACATCTGGGGGAAGCAGACGGTCTGGCCGTAGACAGTCTGAGGCTGCTGGACCACGATGGAGGGGCTGGGCTGGCCCTGAGGCCGGGGAGGCGTCGGGGTGTTTGCTGGTTTGGGCTGATCAAGGAGCATGTAAATAGAGACAGATGTAGAAAATGAGTTAGGGATCTCAAATTGTGGTAATTGAATTGTTTTGTGTGGCGGCGGCAGCAGCAGCAGGGCACACTACTCACCTGCACATTGAACCTGGGTTTGAACTCGTTGGCATTTGGGTTCAAGGTTGATTTTCTCACTTGACTGCAGGAGGAGAACAAATAGTGAAGATGATTACATTTAAAAAGGATCAGTAGGAAATTATTGTTATAATTATAGTTTTTTTGAAAGATTCCGTATTTTCCTAAAACAGCTGGGCAAACAAATACACAAATAGAAGTAAATAGTGCATTTGCTTGGGACTATTTTCAGCAATGAACAGCAGGACGTGTATGTGGGATCGAGTAAACTACAGTGCCTTCATTCATGGAGAAGGAACAGGTCAAACACTGCAATTGTGGGACACATTGAGGTGTTTTCCTTTAGACATACAGTCTCCCCTCTCAACCGTACTGTCTTTTCCACTCACTCTTGTACTGCCTCCTTTTTCTCCTCCTTCTCTTCATGCTTGGGTCCACTGAAGGAGGACGTGGCTGTCGTCTGAACTCCCTGTGATGTCACGTCCTGTCCCGCCCTCTTTTGGTCAGGGGCTGATGGAGACGGGGACAGCGCAGCAGGGCTGCCGGGCTTATTGGCGTTTGTGGTGGATGGAGCAGGGGCGCCAACGGGGGCGCCGGCAGCAATCACCACAACACCGTCTTCAGTGCCCTCCCGCCCCACTGTGGAGGCTTTGTCCAGGGGGAGGTCCTTCGGCTTGTCTGCTGGATCTCTGGGAGGCTTGGTCATCATCGGGTCAAAAGCAGCTTCTGGGTTTGAAGTAGACTGCAACTGGACGAGGGAAGATGAAAACAAGAGTTGGACGAGGCACATCCCAGCTATTGAGCAGCCTTTAAAAACACGAGGGTAGTTATGTCAGCACACTTACCCTAAAATCAACACTAAATTTCTTTAAATTATCTATTTGTTTTCTGTGGTCTTGTGCCATAGAGGGGGGTCCTGTAAGGTGTGTAGAGAGAGAGAGAGAGAGAGAGAGAGATAAATGACTCAGGGTTTCAGTGATTACCAAATGGATTCTGCAAATACTGCTACCCAGTGCATACCGTACCTTTACAGACTGTTCTGGTGATACTAGGTGAGCTATCCAGGGGCTTGATGTTTTCCTTGTTTGCAGTCGGGGATGTCTGTCTCGTCTCCTGGACACGACACTCTTTTGCTGCAACAGAAGAATAGTCTGTTGACTCCCCGTAAAAAATGCAGAGCAAGGATTTGTGAACGGTCTTTCTGATGATGACCGAACCTACGTTGCAATGTCAAATCCAAGTACACTACATACATACGTACTGTACTTAAGCATTCTTCATTCGCTTAATCAATCTCAGTGAAAGTGTGGGTTAACTTTAACCTTACCATCTGCTGAAGAAGAGGCAACCATGTTGGGGGCGGGGCTACCAGCAGTAGGAGAGGAAGCTGATGTCGCTGCAGCAACAGTTTCCACAGGAGCTGTTCCTGTCTGGGGTGCTGGGAGGGAACAGGCTCCACCCATATTATTCTGTCGGGGGGAGCGTGGTCTGTGAGCTGAGGAGGGGAAGAATTCATAAGATTTTGGTGATCACATAATGTAATGTAATTCTAAGTCACACCAACTAACTTCAACGTCGTTATTTACTGGCCAACAACTATCAACATATAAAAACAGACAAAGTGTAGAGAAATAGAAAGAAAAAGTAAGGAAAGAACTACTTTACCTCCACTAACCACAGAGGACCATGTCCCTCCAGAGGAGCTGCTCCTGGTCGGTGGAGTCACTGGGACCTCTCCAGGAGCATTGTGGGAAATCAAATCCACTCCGGATGGGGCTCCAGGGGTCCGGCAGGGTGGCACTCTGTGAGCACGAGGCGTCCGCTGGGACTTTGGAGACATCCTGGGTGGGCCTGTAGACGAAGAAAGACAGATGAAGTAAGACGGACCATCCCATACACAGACCGTGGATATGAGGTAAACACGCTGACCAGCCTGCAATCCTGCAGCGAAGGTTTCTCTTTGAAACTCATCTCACAAAAGCTTAAACTTTTTTTTCTTTTTTCTTTAAAAACCTCTACACACCGATTACATCTCAAAAATGCTTAAATGTCACATCCCACAGTAATGTTATTTGGTGACATGCATGTTAGTGGAGAAACTGCAGATGATCCTGTAAAGTGATCAAACAACACACCACACTCTGCAAACCACAACCAAGTGAAGTGACCGATGAGAAACGGGGAAATAGAGGACAGGTGGTGACGTGAAGACCCTTATTTAAAGAATTCACTGTTTAGCAGAGTTCGTACAAAACCGTGTCTCACACAGGTGAAAGCCCTGTGCACAAGCGTTCTTTGGCCAAACAGTTGAATATTTTTCAGTGTAAACACATTTGAAAAGTATAAAACATCATCCATAAGTATTTGGACAGCAACATGTTCCTTTTAGCTCAGTACTCCAGCTCAGTGGATTCAACACACACAGACTAAGCGTGTAAAGGATTCGCTTACAGTTAACAGTTTGAGAGTGAACGTAGTCGGAATAGTAACGCTGTTAAACAGTGCCCCACCCAATGAAAAGAGCATCATCATGGAAGATAGTGCTGAGTCTACAACCAAAACCCACCTTTTGATGTTTTGTAATAAATTAGACTTAATTAAAGAGTGACTAAATACTGTTTTTGCTGTCCTCCAGTGGCTGATGTTCTAACCCTGCTGCACTAATGCGAGCCTTTCATTACAGGTACAACAGACCACACTTGCTAAGTGTCATCAGAGATGCAACAGACTTACAATGTTTTCAGCAGAAGAGTTCAACTGCAAAATAATCCATGATTGGGAGCCATGGATTAAAAAAAAATAAAAAAGAATATTCCTATAATCCATCTAATATGGATGTAAATAAATGCCATCAAAATAAAGCTCAAAGCTGGTATTTTACCCTCATTTTTATTGATATCATTTCAAATCCAATGCGCTGGAGTACAGAGCCAACACAATATCACTGTTAAGCACTGTATGTGAGGCCCAACTGATTAAGTTGTTTTACGTAATATATCCTCTTTTAAAAATGCCCAATTCTAACTTCTGGTTGCATCTTTCCCATTCTTCATTTATAACTTCACATAAGTTTGTATTTTTTTTTTAAAGTTGCACCAATCAAGTCTTTGTTATTATAACAGTTATCTGGTGTCTGTTCAGACCTTCCTCTTGACTGCTGCATCAGAAAACATTTTGAGACACTGCTGCCTTGGTGTTTGAACTCTAGCTTGACAGAAAGCACAGCACACATCGTTGTGCAACCACATGCCGAGGTGAAACTACCTGACGCACTGACAAAGGATCAGCTTAAAATTGAAATCCTCACAATATCCATTTGTAAGGAAATTGACAAATCTGGCCCCAAATCAGTTTGAAGAAGCAACTTCACCCATTTGTTTTGTTCCACACTAGACCTGGGCAAATATATTTCTGAGAGTAGTTTTCTTATTTAACTTTTGTGACGCTTCTAACATCTTTCAATCGGATTATGATGGAATATCACTTCCATATTGAACTCAATCCATCCAACTTCAACTCATGCCTTTGCCCAGGTCTACTCCACACTGATGTGGGTACCTTCTGAAGACATGCGTTTGGGCAGAGTGGAGGCTGGCGACGTGGGCCCATGGTGGGAAAAGGAGGATGAGGAGGAGGGATAGGAGGGGTGGGATGAATGAGAGTGAGGCCTGGAAGGTCTAGAGGGGGGTCTGGAGGGTGGCCTGGTGGGCGTGGTCGCCCGAGGAGGCAGGGAGGAGGGGCCAGACTGGTAACGAGAAGGGGGGCGGGAGGAAGGAGACGGACAGGGTGAGGGCCAATGGGATGAACCTAAAAGAGGGAAGGACAAATGATCAAGGATGACAAACGGCAGATAACTAGTTAAAGTGGGGAAACAAAGGTATAGCAGGAATTTAAAGAAGGGGGGGGGATTAATAAATATGAGAAAGTATGGCAAGGCAGAAATAAAATAGGTACATAACACATAAGTAAATAAATAAACAAATGAATAAAATAGCAACAACAAATATGAACATCTCAGAGACCCTAAAGTTAAAGTTACCGCTGGCTTTACACCAGTTACACAGTAGAGGGTAACAGAGGAAACTCTCTGCACACATTTTGTATATAAGGTGTAGCCAGTAACCCCATACGGTTGAGTGTGTGATGTATTAGTCATACCTCCGTTAACCACCCTCTGGTCGGCCCCGGGACTGTAGTCGTGAGGTCCTGGTCGAGGAGTCGGGGGTCCACCTGAGCTCTGAGCCAGACGAGGTGAGTTCTGACGTCCCGGTCCCCAGGACATCGCCTCCCTGTTCCTCTGACCTGGAGGAATGTACTTGTTCTCTCTGCGCACGCACACACAGACACAAGCAGATGGTTGAGTTAAATATGTCTAAGACAATAGTTAAGATAATAAAAGGGAGGAATTCATTCTACACTATTACATTCAACTAAGTACTTCTCGTCAGCCAAAATGAGCATGTTTTCTTAAATTACCAAGGAAGTATTTGTTCTGGGAGCAGCTGCTGTTTACTTAGTGAATTTGCTAGAACTACTTTGTCTCCCTTTAAGGCTTGAATATGCTTCTCAAGCCTCAGCATTTCTACTGCAGACACACCCTAAAGGAAGCATATGTGGTGTATGACATGCTAGTACAAAGAACTTCTAAATAAATATAGTACAGGCCATGCTGGTACATATTTTCTTCTCTATGTAAAACTTTTGTAAAATACCAAGCATGTATATTCAAACAGACCTGCAGGTGTTGACGTTTGCAAACAAGACAGGCCAGCCCTGTGACGTTGCTGCATTGATATTTAATAATAATTACATTACAAGTATAAACTAAGTCCCAGTATTTCCTATTAATAACCTAGACTGTGGCAGCCCGCTAAAGTATTTACTATAGAAACTATGTGAACTATTTGCTTTGTAAAGATATAGTGGAGTAATATCTACCTGAGTAGAGAATGAAGTCAAAAGTAAAAGTAAAGACATTTACAATAAGATATTTAACCCTTACCCTTTAACTATTTAATATAATAATAACTAGACTATAAAGTACATAGTAAAACATCATAGTTTTTTAGTTCATTTATATATTGTATAAAGAATTTAAATCTGCAAAGTAGCCTAATTAGGAACTAATATGTTCAAAAAAAGATATTGAAGTTAAAAGTACAATATTTCCCTCTGTAGTGGAGTAGAAGTTACATAAAATGGAAATACTCAAGTAAAATACTAGTACCTCAAAATGTCTACTTAAGTGTAGTACTTGATTGGCCTACATATACTCAGTTACATTCCGCCACTGGTAGAACAAGGGCACAAGTTTGTTTACAAGAGCACAACGTTGTTCATAGTTGTAGCCACTAACTTCTGCTCTCACAGTTTACCAGACTGATGTGTTTAACTTTAAAATGTACAACATTTTCTTCCGGGGAAGCATGACCCCGGATCGCCCTAGCAGGTCAGAGGTCCACCCACTATGGTCTCATAAACTCTTGAGGGAAAACCTGAAGCCACATTACGGGACTGTAAATGTTGCGGTATTGTGTTGCTGCTTTTTTAAAGGAGCTGGGATTGCAGCACAGACTAAGAGCCAATTACAAACAATGAGAATGAATGAAATTGGATAGGCACATGCAAGCTATTGACACAATATGCAAGTACATCATTACAAGGAATACACTGACCAATGCAAGCATTAAGCTTTGACCCTATGTTTGCGTGTTTCCTGGTTCTCACCTGCTAAGTGTATGAGTCTCCCTTTCCCCACGCACGACAGCAGTATATTTCTCCTCCTCAGAGCGTTCGTCGTTCTCCAGGGCCACACGGGCTTTATATGTGGCACTGGCCTCAATCTCCTCTGCCAGCTGGGCAGCACGCGCTTCTCTCTTCTGGAACTCTTCTGAGTTGTCTCGCTCCAGGGGGACCCTGGGAAACAAGCGCAGGTCAGACTAGAGCGACAAGGTGATGGAGTGTCCAGGGACGACCTGATGGAAATGTTTTTCTTTTGTCATGCGAGGTCACACCTGATTAAAAGCATCAGTACATTAACAGATATATTAAAAATATCTTCGGTACACACATTCTTTAATTTTAAATAGATGTGCTGTATTAGTGGTAGTGCATTACACATATTCCAACAGAGAAACACACATGAACATAGAGAAGCTTACGTATATGTGGACAGGCTGCTGTCATATGTAGACAAGACCCCATACTTCTCCTCGTTGTACTTGAACATGTCATTGGGGTCCCAGCCATTTGACTGATGTGAAGAGAGAGCAGAGAGGGAGAATTTCACAAAAGGGCCATTAACAGATTATCAATGCTGTGGATCAGATGTTTACTTCTTTCCCGTCAAATTCAAAATCCTCAGTTTACAAAGATCCTCATGTGAAGGCCTGTATGGATTCTATGTGCTCACAAGTGCAGCATCAATCCGTTGGTTGCATCTTGTTTTCTTACCACATCTGTATCCAGAGACTCCAGGCTGTCAGAGTTGTGGGTCTCTCCTCCATCCCAGGGCTCAAGATCCTTCTCTTTATGCTCACCATTGATCTTACTGCTCACTGCTGCATCTGTGAAGTTGTCTGCGGCGCGCGCACACAAACACACACACACACACACAAAGAATACATATTTATGCACGGCACACACACACACAAACACACAGAAGCTCATGATGGTATGTATCTCACATGGCTGCACTCTCACACCTCAAGAGCCACAAGCCCTAGCAAAGGTTTTGTAGCTGTGCTTCACCAGGCACACCCACCCACAAGCAGACATGGGTCCGACTGGATTGGGGAAAGAAATCTTTTCAAAAATAAATTTGAGCATTTCCTTGAGCTGGCCTTGGGAAAGCTAACAAGTATAAAATGTTCTGACAGTGGAGGCAAGAATATGAAAACAGCCTTGTGAAGAAATGCAAAACCCTAAAACTATCTTAGCCTGTAACCAAATTATTATTATTATTAAGATATCATATTTTCAGCTGGCAAACTTTCATCCAAAATCAAATGCAGGTATCATAGTCTGCCTGTCTTTCCCCCCCACTTAATTTATTACGCATCATTATAGCAATACCTTGAAAAACAACAATATCTGATATTTGTCCATACTTTCAGGACCGTTAATTAAGTAAAGTTACAGAATACTCTGGTCGGCACACTAAAACCAGGGACAGGCACGCTCAAAGAAAACCCCTAAATTATATTTGAAAGGAAATCTAATCACATGTCGGCCCAGGTCTGCTCTCACATTCTCAGAACTGGTACCAATGGACTGCATGCATTAAGCACATCAGCCAACTGGAGTTAGCATAACCAAGCCATCCCAACTCATCCTGCAATACAACGTGCATTTAAGCATCTTCAGAGATACTAGATGCATTTTGATTGCAGTCAATTATATAAAAATCCTGACATAATTTGATTTTCAATACAATGCTCAGAAACCAAAGGTGCACGTGCTCAATATGAGTTTTCAATCTGTTGCTTTCAATGGCATCATACTCATAATGCTTATAATTTTCCATCGAGCTCTTATTGTAACCGAGTTCTGGTGCAGTAAGGTTTGAACCCCATGTCTAGGAAAATAACACACTGCTCTGAAATTTGAGCCATTTCTGGCTACGTACAGGCTCCAATTGAGCTCGGGCCTTAAACGTAAAATAATTTGTTAAAATTATTTGTAAAATGTTAAAACATTACTTTAAATGTCAGCTTAATACCCAAACTACTGTTAGAGCTAATACAATCAGTATTCGTGTTAGTTTACTATGTTAAACAATTAGCTGGACATCTTTCACACACGATCAGCTTCCTCAAACGTGATCATAAAGCAATACATATAATGTCCAAGGCAATGATCATGACGGGCTGATCTCTGAAGTAAAAGCTAGACCGAGCTGTGTATCACAGAGCAAGTGGCAAATGCTTCCACCAAATGCAAGATTCAGTGAAAAGACGGAGCAAGAGAGACTTGGATCAAACATTTGATTCTTAGGTTATGTGAAAGCATTGATCCCCAAATTCTATCAACAAATTGGATTCAAAGCAGCAAAAAGGTAGCAAAAGATCAGACCCCAGCCTAGGAGATTCACAAATTTGTTTGAGTGCATACAAAGTTGTGCAAGAGGAGAAAACGGCCATATATTACCTGTATCAGAGGAGACTAGACCATCGGAGAGGAGAGAGACAGATGACAGGGTCAGAAGATGGACTTACAGATGGTGATCACACCAACAGTCAAGCTTGTTTCTTCAACAACTCTAATGTTTTCATGGCTTTAGTCACAATCCCCTTATTTTAAGTTGATAAAAAAAAAATAAAAAAATCACATGTACCTTGAAAACAAAAATATAATTTCTATCTGCAGAAATAAACACATTAATAACATAGGATAACTAACATTAGCAATGGTGCTTTAGATGTTTTACTTTTCCGGTAATCAGTCCACAATTGATCAATCTAACTATCGTATTTTAAAAGTTGCACCAGTGCACTCTTCAAATCATGTGGCGAGACCCTCACACTTTGTCCAGTCCATTATCATTGAAAGAAGAATTGTGTGGGTCAAGATTAAGTAGATGAAGACGACTTATTCAGCCTTTATTGAGTGTCCTTGCGTCGGCCGGGCAACCTTCGGACCGATCAATAGAACGCATCAGTCTTCAATGACTGACCACTCGGAGCAGATACACAAGATTTAACTCACGGCAAAGCCTCTGAGACATCAAGGTGGTGAATACGGACTGCAATGGATCAACACGTTGTGTGCGTGTACTGAGGGACATTCACTCTGGCATGCGTTCATTTTTCTGAATGTGCAATGAAAAGAAATTGACATGCTTGCCTATTTACATCGTGTATGCTTCATGGGTTTTCAGTATGAGCACCACTAGGTGTGTATAAAGACTGCTCTTCGTGTAGCTGGATAATATTTGTTAACAGAAAGGCCCTCGGTACCTTTCCTGGCGAAATTCAGGTCCACATCTTTGAAGGTCACCACTACGACATCTGAGGCCTTGAAAATGATGCTCTCCACAATATCCTCTTTCCTGGGAGCTATGCTCGGCTCTGGGCTCTTTCTGTGGGCTGCGTCCAGCACCAGGTCACACTAAGGGGGAGAGTTATGTCTATGAATAAAGGGGAATCTGAAATACAGCAAAAGCTACATTTACCTACAGAAATGATGAGTAACCCTGGGACATGTAGGACAGAGACCGTGCATAGTTTCTTCCCAATCATGTTCCACAGTAGCTGGACAGACAGAAAATACATTTTTTTTCCAGTAAATGTATCACGCAAAAATGCCAAACATTCTCTGGTTCCAGCTTCTCGGGGAGGATTTGCTGTTTTTTTTCCTACATTATGAATTAAATATCTTTAAACATTTTTATGAATATGTATTAAATATCTCAATGTGAACTTTTTTTTTAATGTTTGTTTGTTTGTTCCGTTTGTCTCTGCCTTGTAAAGCGTCTTGGAGTATCTTGAAAAGCGCTATAGAAAATTGATTTATTATTATTATTATTATAAATTGAACTGTTGTCAGATAGAATGAGCAGTTTGAAAAAGGAAGAGGTCACCCTGGGCTCAGGAACATTGGGGCAGACTTTTTTCCCTATTTTCTGACATTTTATACACTAAACGATGAACCAATTAACAAAAATAAAAAAGTGATAGATGAATGGATAATAATCTTGATGAGCACAATCAGAGGAAAAAGGACCAAATTAATGAAATCACTTGGTGTGATTTAATTGAAACAAAAACCTGCAATCTTGGCCCAGATGAAGGAGCTTGTAACCTAAAACTTCCCCAAAACAAGATGTTTTACAACAACTAGTACATTAAAGAAGAAAATTGAAAACACAAGCCCTTCAACCAAACAAGACACTGTTGACTAATAGACGGTGTACAGAGGGGTGGTGAATATTTCAGACTGTTTGACTGTTCAGCTTGTGCACACTGTGGTAATAAAAACCAAATGGGGTACTTTGTTTTGGACTCAAATTAAAAGGGGTGTGTTTGTCTGTGCAAGCACCAAATCGAGTCTCTTTCAGTCATACAACCTTATAAGCGGTGGGAGATATCAAAGTCTCATGTGAAAACAGGGATAATGTACAGTGGGGCAAAAAAGTATTTAGTCAGCCACCAATTGTGCAAGTTCTCCCACTTAAAAAGAGAGATGCCTGTAATTTTCATCATAGGTACACGTCAACTATGAGAGACAGAATGGGGGGGAAAGAATCCAGGAAATCACATTGTAGGATTTTTAATGAATTAATTGGTAAATTCCTCAGTAAAATAAGTATTTGGTCACCTACAAACAAGCAAGATTTCTGGCTCTCACAGACCTGTAACTTCTTCTTTAAGAGGCTCCTCTGTCCTCCACTCGTTACCTGTATTAATGGCGCCTGTTTGAACTCGTTATCAGTATAAAAGACACCTGTTCACAACCTCAAACAGTCACACTCCAAACTCCACAAGACCAAAGAGCTGTCAAAGGACACCAGAAACAAAATTGTAGACCTGCACCAGGCTGGGAAGACTGAATCTGCAATAGGTAAGCAGCTTGGTGTGAAGAAATCAACTGTGGGAGCAATTATTAGAAAATGGAAGACATACAAGACCACTGATAGTCTCCCTCGATCTGGGGCTCCACGCAAGATCTCACTCCGAGGGGTCAAAATGATCACAAGAACGGTGAACAAAAATCCCAGAACCACACGGGGGGACCTAGTGAATGACCTGCAGAGAGCTGGGACCAAAGTAACAAAGGCTACCATCAGTAACACACTACGCCGCCAGGGACTCAAATCCTGCAGTGCCAGACGTGTCCCCCTGCTTAAGCCAGTACATGTCCAGGCCCGTCTGAAGTTTGCTAGAGAGCATTTGGATGATCCAGAAGAGGATTGGGAGAATGTCATATGGTCAGATGAAACCAAAATAGAACTTTTTGGTAAAAACTCAACTCATCGTGTTTGGAGGAGAAAGAATGCCGAGTTGCATCCAAAGAACACCATACCTACTGTGAAGCATGGGGGTGGAAACATCATGCTTTGGGGCTGTTTTTCTGCAAGGGGACCAGGACGACTGATCCGTGTAAAAGAAAGAATGAATGGGGCCATGTATCGTGAGATTTTGAGTGGAAACCTCCTTCCATCAGCAAGGGCATTGAAGATGAAACGTGGCTGGGTCTTTCAGCATGACAATGATTCCAAACACACCGCCCGGGCAACGAAGGAGTGGCTTCGTAAGAAGCATTTCAAGGTCCTGGAGTGGCCTAGCCAGTCTCCAGATCTCAACCCCATAGAAAATCTGTGGAGGGAGTTGAAAGTCCGTGTTGCCCAGCGACAGCCCCAAAACATCACTGCTCTAGAGGAGATCTGCATGGAGGAATGGGCCAAAATACCAGCAACAGTGTGTGAAAAGCTTGTGAAGACTTACAGAAAACGTTTGACCTCTGTCATTGCCAACAAAGGGTATATAACAAAGTATTGAGATGAACTTTTGTTATTGACCAAATACTTATTTTCCAACATAATTTGCAAATAAATTCTTTAAAAATCAGACAGTGATTTTCTGGATTTTTTTTTCTCATTTTGTCTCTCATAGTTGAGGTATACCTATGATGAAAATTACAGGCCTCTCATCTTTTTAAGTGGGAGAACTTGCACAATTGGTGGCTGACTAAATACTTTTTTGCCCCACTGTATGTGTTATAGACTTCCCATCAAGAATGTAAAGTCAAGCCTCTGACAAGTGAACTGGACAGAATTTTCTACCGTTGCTCCGGTTAAGCTGTTCATTTGTGCAAAATTAAATTCCCCCCATAAGGCAAACATTGGAGAATATTCCAACCTAAAAGGGAAGAAGAAGGACCACATACCTCTCCTCCTTAAAAGGAAAGATGGAAAGGGCGATCTTTGCCCACGCCACCTCAGGGGTGAAGCTGTTATTGAGTGATGGCTGGGCACCAACTTCCCAGCATAGTAATCCTTGATCAATATAGTGATGCTACTAACGAAATTACACATCTAGCACCATATTAGCACCTAATATAAAGAGCATTGTACTATGTGTTATCCTTACCTCTGGACCGTATGTCTTAAATACTCCTTCATAGACTGCTCCATTTTTCACTTTCAGCTCACACTTGGTCCCCTATGAATAAACAGGCCTATCAGTATTCATTGTCTGCAACATTCATGCAATTAAAAGTGGTAATGTCAATTTACAAGATTCAAAAAACAAGTTCAGAAACCCATCTGCTGTGAAAAAGACAAATGATTGATCAATCTCTGCTTTGTTTATGCAACCAGCTGTCTCTAAAGATCACACAGGCTTTGCTTATAGCGGCGTAGACATTTTGAAGAAACGGCATGTGGTGAAAGACTGAAGTACATACTGCTGTTACACATTCATTTACAGTAAGCATAATTCACATGTTTTATTCAAACAACGATATTTCTAATTGTGCTTATTTCTCTATTCATTATTGATATACAGAAGACAAAGTTCAAAAGGACGTACTAGACATATTTGTAACGTCAACTGAGAAAATAAAACTGTAAACACAGTTAAACATACCACCACTGAAGTCAAGACATGGACCATCCTCATATTTGCATATACACCATTGAAAATGACCTAAAGAAAAAAAAAAAAGAAAAAAAAAACACAGTTAACTTCTGATGTTCCCCAGTTGCTAAGAAACAAATGTGCTAAATAGGCTCTCACATGTATGCGACACCTATTGTTCCATTTACAATTCATAACAATAAAAAAGATTTCCAACCACTGGATTTAGGCTATTTATCTAAAAAGGTCCATTCTGTTCAAATTTTAACTATATTACAAAAACATAGCACTGTATTCAAATGACTGCACAGAATGAAGAAAAAGAAGTATTAATCCAGTGTGGGGGTTGTCATGAAAGAAGCCTCCTCTTTTTTGATAAACTACAGCAATCAGGTTTACTAGACGCCTAATGATACATCCCTATGTTGTATAAAAGCTATTTCCCACTGACATATGAGAGTTAACCGGTTACTTACTGCTGCGGGACCTTTACCACTGTGTCTTCCCCTGAAAAAAAGAAAATGGCATTGTTGTCAAACTTGCCATCATCATTAGTACTGAAGTTCTTGCTAGCATACTAAGACAAAGCCCTCTCTAATGGAGGCCACTGTAGACTGAACGTTACCTCGAGAGGAGGTGGTGGAAATCTATGATGGTACTGAACTGCTGTTTCACATGTTACAGGAGAATCCCAAGAAACACCATCAACACAAATTATCCAATCAAATTACATTTAAATGTCATGCAAATTACAAATTTGAATGCAATGTAGATTCTGAAATGTCCAACAGCTGGTTGGAATAATATTCAATGGGCTGCCAGCCACACACTACATGGAGTAGCCTACATTTTTTTTTTTCCGAAGCATGTCCTAAAATGCACCTTGTTCAGCAGCTGGCACATGGCCAGGCATTCACACTTAATTCAATGTAGGAAACGGCCACTCTCCCTACATCATATCCGCCTTACTCGATGAGTAATGTGCTCACCTAAAGACAGTCGGTTCCTCGATATAGTAATGTCGAAATTCAATAGGTTGGTTTCGTGAGTCCACGAACTGGTCCTATCGCATTTTACTCCATCTTCGCCCGGCCTAATGGATGAACCTACGCAATGAATGGGACGTACTGTCCTAGTGACCGGTGAAGAGAAGCCAGACCAAACTAACACCAGCGACATACACGATACGCATGCAGCTTCTGCACCGACGGTGTGCGTTCGCTTTGTATTAGGACGACATGAACAGAAATGTCATGCTTCAAGGACATTATTGCACGGGCAACAACGTCAAGGTTGAAAGCCCGTCGGTCTATAATTCCCCCTTCTCCTCCTCTTCTCCTCCTCCTCCTCCGCCCCATTCTTTCGTGCGCCCACACGTTTATATCAATTTCTTGACAAACCCGTTGCAGCAATGTTGCGGTAACGTGCCAACCTAGACGACTGTAGAACGAAAACAAACAGCCTGTTTTTATCATAGTCCCTTTAGATTGCCCCGTTAGCCGACGTTAGCCGCTATGAAACTGAATTAGGCAAGTGCGCTGAATCACAAGCATGGGCTGTCAAACGGCTAATTAACGCCGTTAGCCTAAGCGGCTCCGAGCCGATAGTAAACTGATATCAGCGACTTGGCAAAGAGCATCAGCGCTACACGCGCGTGGGGAAATGTGTTAGTCCACTAAAACATGTTTAAATACATAATCAGATATCAAATGATACGTCCTCTTGCAGGTTAAATAAAACGTAACATTATATTTCGAAGTTGCAACATTATTGGGGCGAGCAGCAGACGGGCCTCGCGAGCTCAGCTGCATAGCGTTACGCTAGGTGACCAACACGTCGCGAGGCCCGCATAACGTTCAGAAACGCGTACTACTTTCGGACCGTTAACGGGAGTGTCATCTCTCCAAACCGGCCCTGTTGGAAGTGACTGTGTTCAAGTATTGGAGGCTAGTCACGTTAACCCTCGCTGCTGTGTTTTTATTTCGCTAAATTAGCGGTTCAGTTGCACAGACCTGCCCAGATTCTGTCGTCCTCCACCGCTTCCTCCGGCACCAGAGGCGGTGGCGGCACTAGAGGTGTTGCCACCGCCGGGCTTGCTGCGATTTCCACCGGCCTTCATTGACATGGTGATCCCATAAAACTCCGCGTCTTAAAACGACCAGCTTCACACCGCAATTTCTCAACGATGTGTGACTATGTGACAGCTCGCAAACGTTAGCGATCCTCTGATGTGGCTAGCTAACAGGGTAACGTCAACGTGCCTCTTGAGGAGGATGCTATGCTAAGAAGCTAGCTTGCTAACAGTTGCTATCTAAATTAGCAATCTGTACAATTCCTATTAAAACAGAAAAAAATAATGTTTTAAAAAGACAACAAGCCTCAATTACTCTTCCAAAATAAACAAGGGTGTTACACCTCTTGCCAATTTGTTGTGTAATTCTAACAAAATAAATCGTTTATCTCAAAATAAGGTTTACAGCTATCTCAGGTTCTTTCCGTTGCTAACAGCGAAAAGACCAAAACAGTCTGAAAGGGGACAAAAAACTGCGGAGGGATATATGAAAGGCGTAGCGGCTCATAACATATAACGTTAACCAAATATTTCTACAGTGTGTTCTTTGACAGCCACCTACCTGATAAAAATACAAACGTGGTCATATTTAATCTAGATCACCAAAGAAACCTATAGATACGCATTTGTTTTGCTAAATTATACATACAACATGGCACTACTTTCAGGAAGTCCCCGAATCATCGACGGCTGTTCTGTGGCATCCACGTGAGCCGGCGAGCAAACTACATACACGGGCGCTCACGCGTAGAAGCCATAGAAACACATTTACAAGCTGCTTGTGTGTGCATAGGATGTCAATTTACACCTTACATTATGGACATAGAGATACAACTAGTTCGATGCGCAGGTACATTTACTAAAAAAAATACACATTGATGATTTTGTCAATAGAAGATAAAATGTTGTGTAGTTGGAAGAGAATCAAATAATTCGTATTCATTGTAGGGGCCTTTTTTATGCACTGAATGTCAAATTAAATAACGTGCCATGTATTCCAAAAACATCAAACTATGCTACATGTCAGGCTCCTGATATAATTTATTTAAAAAATATATACTTTGTGATTAAATCTGAATCTAATCCAAAACGAATTTTCTCTTGTTTTTTTCCTTGCCTTATATATACTGTGTAAATATATATCTATATAGATATATATTGGCCCTGTTAGCCATGAGCCGCTGGCTCAGCCATGGCAATGTTGAGAGCTATTGTGAGGCAATAGAAATGCTCCCAATGCAGGGTATAGCACCTTTAGAGATACATTTTTTTATTATATTCTATTAATCATTCAATAATCTTATAACAAGCTACAATAAAAATAAAAATGTCACATTCGGCTACAACATGGGTCTACAAGCCTTCCGTTTTTATATGATGTATTTATTTTCATTGTCCTATTCTAAAATCTCTACGATCAAAATTGAATGACATTTTAATCATTCCATCACTTCTCTAGTTTTTCCAGTTAGTCTAATTTAGGACCATATTAGCTGCACTTTGTGAAGGAAATAGCATATGCCTAGTTTTCCATTTCTTCCACATCTCAAGTACTAACTACAGTATGTTTTCTGCCCTAAACATACATTTATACATTCAGTCATTATTTGTATTTACATGAGACATATAGAAAAATACCTACAGTGAGTCTTTGCATTTAAGAATTGACAAGCTCAGATGGGACTCAAACATACAGTCCTCATGGATTAGAATCAATGGATTTAAATCCATAGACAACATGTCTTCTTCACTATGTTCACTGTCCTGTTGAAAGTGTCATCATCTCTGGTCAGTGAATGCATTCCACTTGCAACATACATCAAGAAATAAATGAAGTTCATTATTCCAATGCTTCTGCCCTGATATGGAATTTAAGAATTAATGTCAATTCATGGCTGTCCCCACAGCCAGCTACCAAGTAATGCCGATTCAATTGACAGTTAAGGATCTGGGTATACAATTAACAAATATATATAAAATGGCATTTTTGTTAAAAACTACGAGGATGGTAGCCTTAATTATATTGACTTGAATAATTTAGATGGTATGATAGATATTAATTGGCTGAAACATTCTGGTCTCAATACAGTTTTTGGTTTGGTCAATGTTTTCAAAGAGATCTTCAAGAAATGGGTGGTATTGTGTTGGTCCTGTATTGTGACTTCCTGTCAAACTCTCACTATTTCATCAGAAGGTACTTTTGTATCGGGAGTTACTTTTTACAAAATCCCAATTTGCCAACATGACACAACAGATGTGTTGTGTACTGGAAAATAATCCCTGTATTATGAGGCATGGATGGATCCAGTCTGTTGTGAACTTGTTTGATAACACAGGCAATATTCCTTCATTTGAGAATATCAGTTTGAATTATCAATTGACAGTGATAAAATAAAAAAAAGATAATTTGCCACTGTTTTAAAAACAATTCCAACTGCACTCCTAATGTTGGCAAAGCATCTTTTTGCAGGCACACCCCTTCCTTTAGTTCTATACCACCCCGGACTTTAAATCAATGGTCTTAATTTCAGAGAAAATTAAATCCATACAGTTATTTGAGGGTGCTTCAGATCACATTAATTTCCTGGACAAATAAAAATGTAATTATTTTGTAATTCACTCAATCCAGCATTACGAAATGTTTTAATTCAATGCGATTCAATACCCCGTCCCTACAAAAATGAAGTGCAATTCAAAGTGGTCAATGCCATTTACCCCTGCAATTCATTTCTTCACATTTAATTAAATTTGGATAGTATTTGCATTCTTTATAAAAGTGATATAGAAACGACAAACCACGAGTGAGATGATTAGACACTGAAATATTTGATTTAGTGATCTTTCCATGTACTTGTATAATTGATGCCTGCGTTACTGATACAGATGCTGAACTTCTGATTAACTGTCTTCTTCTGTTGGGATTTTTGTCATTTATAAAACAAGATTCGTCACAACAACTTCATACTTCCTCGTCTTCCAACTTGTTATCTGCTTATCTGCTTTAAACTCACAGGTAAGAACCGCAAAGGTTTTTTATTATTTTTTATTGTTCTACTTTAATTTGTGTGTGTAATGCATATCTATTATAGGTTTGGGTTGTACTGTATTCCAAGTTTGCCTATCGTTTGTGCAAAACGCACACTGTTAATAAAGTTTATTTAAAAAAACAACTGGGGTCTTATAAGGACCCACCGGGGTATGACCACTTCCAAATTAATTTTATTAACATGTAAAACAATTCATTAAAAAAATGTACCGACCATTACACGCTTAATACATATCAAAAATACACATTTACTCGCAGAAAAACAATACTACTCCACATATTGTCCTAATTTATAAAACATTTTGTTTTGTTTTCATCAGGCGTTCACTACGGGACTCGTTTTGTGTATTCCCTTCTTATATATATATATATATATATACAGTCTGTGGTATTCCCTCTGACAAGCAACTGTGGGATTATCTAAATAGTGCAGAGATGTGTGTATATCTCCTTGGTCACCTCTGAAAACATTCTCCATTAACCCTTTCCACCTCTGAGACTGTGTTATAGTCCCGTACGAGCGCTGATTTGTATTCGGCCAGCTCTGTCTCACGGAATAATGTTAACGTCTGTGGCTTTGAGTAGAGCTGCACAACGAACTTGCCAGCTAAGCTAACTCGCTAGCCCGTTAGCAGCCTCGGTTCGACGACATAATAGGCTGCTGTGCTTCTGGGAACACGGTGTCCTCGTCGTGTCAGATCAACCCAGCGCTAATCCGGGATAATATCGACGATCTTCACTTTATGTTTCACGGTTGTTGTGTAATCGTCTGCCCCGGTCACAGGATGGAGTAGCATTAGCTCACTTAGCCAGTCACCGGTGTCTTCTCCGCTCTGCTCTCATTGCGCTGGCTAAAAATACACTTTTTGTCCCATGCTCAGCTCGCCTCTAAAAGTGGTGGCCTAGTCCACGTTGAACTCGTCTTCGGCTTTTCTATTCACCTTGCTCGGAGTCTGGCACTCTACATGGTCACCACACTGAGTTTAAACCCACTGGAAGAGCGAGTCGGACCCCGAGGTTGTGAGCCCTGCTGGCCCGATCTAACGTTACATCGAAAGTGGACATCAGGTCCCCGAGTGAACCGATCTCTGACCGGTGGCCGAACATCCTTTTGCCCCAATGGCCTCGTTCTGTCCTAAATAGTAATATAAAGGAGCCTTGGTCCAGTCCAGGGTTGCGAGACCGAAACTGTGAGAAGGTCAGAGAAAAACGCGTTGTGTCTCAACTGTCTGAGATTGGCGAGGCAGACTTCCTCTGTCCGGAGCACAGCACCATGTCGGAGGACAACAACGCAGACAAGTTCATCAAGGTAATCTTGTGAAGCTGCAATCACTGATGGATGTTGAAAATGCTGTTCATGTTAGTCATCGGGAGTAGACGTTATTGCAGAGCTGGAAGCTGACTTCAACGTCACTTCATATGTTTTTGTTTGAGTACAACATGATCGTCAGTGTTCTGTCTACTACACCATCTTAATACACACTTGAATCATAGATTGGTACAACACATGGCAGTACAAGAGTTTTTTTTGTGTAGCTAACAGTAGAAATGTGAATCATTAACAATGTGTTATGTAAAGTTTTACTTGTATGTAAAACATTACTGTGGAGCTTGGATCTGTCTAACATGGTCGGAGTCATTATATTTCCATACACTCTGGCTCTGGGATCTGTTCCAGGACCTGCTCCCCTCAATGTGTCACTGCTCAGGCATTTATGGAAGCAGTAAAATGTGATCTCAAGTGACCCCGGCCCCCTGCCTGCATGGTTGGGTCAGAGTGTACCTAATGCCGGGTTGACTGAGGGGGGATGGCCTTGAGAACTGGAGCACACTTGGGAAGTTATCATGTCGAAGCATTAGTGGGTTCGTTAGCCAACTTTGGACTCAACCAAACTCTGTGGTATCAAGACCGTGGCACTCTAAACAAATGGTTTGATTGGTAATGTTGAAGAAAAGTTTCTTTCAGGTCCAATTCTGTTACTCACAAGGCTGTAGTAGTGGATTTGCATGGGCTCAATACAGGTCTGTCAAAAGGTAATTGATACATGAAGGTGTGACCTCCTGCAGGTCTGGTCTGGGCTCTTTTCACACTACTAAAAGGTTTCACTCTGAGGTTTGTTAATTAATGTAAAATAGTTTCTGTCTGCACAGGGGTTACTGCTACAGACAGAGTTGGCAGGAATACCCAAAGGCATTACAAACGAATACAGTTAATACAATTTAAAGATAACATTTTCTTCTACAGTAACCACCAGCTTTGTTAGACCCATTATCCAGGACCGCCAATGTTGGGCGTAGTGAAGTCAGACCTTTCAAAGATATTTAGTTTATGGCACAGACCCCTGGGTAGTTGTGACGGCTAAGATGTTACGTAATCATGATGAATCCCGATTATCATCAGTCTGTGTTCACACAGACCAGATTGGACTGGGCAGTGACAGGGAGCACAACATATGCTGCCTGTTGGCAGTGGCACACAATTTACTGCATTGTGCTGGCCAAGACCAATATATTCTCGGATAATTCTAATTTCATTTTCTGATCCTTAGTTTGGGGTTAGTAACTTTAAAGTATGAGTGTAGGATGGCTCTCTTTGCCATCTTTACTCAAATACAGCACAAAGTTGGAAATATTGCCAAACCAAAAAAGTATTGTAATCCAGCACAAGTCAAGTGCAATACTAAGAACTTCCTTCAGGGGAGAACCAGACTGACCGCTGAACCGAGCTGCTGTTTGGGGAAAGAAGAGGAAGTGGTGGCAGAAGAACATGGCAGGAGCGGCTGATGAGATCAGAGCGGAGCTCCTGCAGCAACAGCTGAGACAAGATATATATCAATATGTAATCCAAATGTGTACATTCATAAAATATTACGTTTAACCGACTAGTACGGTTCCTTTTGAGGTAAGGGCACAATGCAGGCAACAGGGCGGTGATAGCTGCGAGTCTTGACTTTGACTTTGGCAGTTTGGACCCGCCCATCTGAACCTGGATGCACTCGGGTCACCCGCCCAACAGGCCAGAGAGAGTGAGGTAACAGAGGATCCATCATCATCAGGAGCTGTCCGCTGTAGGTCAGAGGCATCGCTCTGCCACTTACTTCGTAGTTTAAAGTACATAATGCTGGATAAAACAGAAATGATCAGCCAGGGTTAGACTACGGCACCATCTCCTCCTCCCAGTCGGTGTTGATGTACATTGCTTGAGGAAGGGAGGCGCCCTGCCGCCCCATGAGCAGCATATTTGGGATGACGGCGTCAGAGTGGGCCACCTTTGAGGATATGTATCACAATGCTTTGGAGTTCAAGACTCCCTCAACTTCCACCAGTAGTGTGGAGTTCTGGCTCCGGGAACAGACTGACTTTCCTTATTTCCCTTTTCACAAGTGCCACCAAAGTGTGGGGCACGTGAAGGGTTGAAACGGAAGATAATCAGCTGATCCTGTTGCCATGGCCGCCCATGAGGGGGTAAAAAGGGTAAAGCTTTGTGGGGACCAGCTGCTAGCGGGGCCCATGGAGGCCATGTTCATCTGAAAGATAAGCTAAGATAACTCATTTTTAACTGAAATACTCACCATTACATATTAGAACAAACTCGCATTGGATTTATTTATTTTTTGCTTTAGTTGAATGTATCCTGTTTTATAATGAAAGCCTTTCTCTCTTGTGGGTCAGTGGGAGTGTGGGACAACCGTAATGTGTTCAATCAATGCAGAGCAGTCACTCGCTGCCTGCAGCCAGATCGGAAGTTGTGTTTTCAAAGGCAGACTTCTTTGCCTCTCTGTGTGTGCTTTTAGCTCTGCGGAGAGAGAACCAACTCATTAGCAATAAATCAGATCATCAGAGCGGATATTTTGAGTTAATAAGGTCAAAGCATTTAATGAACTCACAGGCCTCACACATCATGTCCGAGGTAAAAAGAACAAAGGGAGAAAGGCAGCAAATGTAACCTCACTGAGTGAAAGTGAATACACCTGAGCAGGGGGGAGGAGGGGGTGGGGGGCAGTTCCTTTCCAGCGAGGAGCGTTTGTTTTATCCTCCCTGCTGGCCTCAGGTGTGGTCATGTGATCTCTTCTTTGGGAATTTAAACAATGCCAGCTCTGCACAATAGTGTGTTTTTCTTATTTCTGTCCAAACATCCGACTCACTGTTTGTGGTGTTTCTCTTCCCGACAGGAGACGTCCATTCTAGACGAGTACAACATTAACTGGACACAGAAGTTGGGAGCCGGCATCAGTGGACCTGTCAGGTGAGTGCGTGTCTAGAAGTTCTTCTCTCCGTGCTCTTCCTCCAGTCCTGCGTCAGGTTGATGTCAAACTTCTGCTTCCAGAACAGTGTTGCATTGACAGAACTGGGAACAAAAATAAGTCTGACATGCCGGGTTAAGCCCAGCTGTGAGAGAAGAGCCAGCGTCAATTGAGATTGCTTTCTAGTTTTGTTTAGATCTGAAACTATTGTATTGTGAATCCCATGACGGGATTAAGGAGAGAGATAAATAATGATATCTTGCCCAGCTGCTGCAGTGCAGGATGAAACCACAGTGCTGAATGCTGCTGTATAATGTGGTTGTAAGTGTTATGTAACAGCAGGTGTAGAATATTTGCTAACTGAGCTGAACTTTGTGACTGCTGCCAAAGAAACCTTCCTGCATGTCACTTCTCATGTGGCTTTATTGCATCGTGTTCAACGTGGCACCGTTTCACCGGCACAGATTGAAGGTTTATCCTTGACACATTAACACATATTGAGGATATGAAAAGGTCAGATGGGGAGCAGACTGGACCAACCACTAGTGGATAACCTGGCTCTGAAATTAATTTTTTTTTTTTTCCTCATCCGCCACTGAACATTTCTACAGACCGCTCAATTCGTTTGTCTGCCTCTTCTGAAATCTATGTAGATTTAACACTTACAAACTTTAAATAAAAAATGCTGAGTCAGTGGTACCAGACAGAAATATGGAAAAGTCTTTATCCCTGACTATTTTAAACTGATATTATATATAAATGATATTTCTCAATGTAAAAGAAACATACTGTATCTGCCATGGTGACGGGTGACCCGGATTTCTTACCTCACACAGCCAACACTACTTACCCTGTATTTGGCAGGTGTCGGATGCTAATTTCATTCCCTGTGTGTAACACCGTCGCAACTCCAGGCTTGATGCGGAGATGTTTGGCACCGGTGCCACTGTTGTTGTGGTCTCTGGGGGCTCATTTGGCTCAGACACAGTCCATGTGACTGTAGCATCCTGGGCTTGAAGCCATCCAACCCAAAACAGTTTTGTCCCTCACCCCCTTGAGTGGAAACACTACTTCTCGTGCGAATGAATACATGTTAAGAGTATTTTTGTGTAGTCCAAATGCTGTTGATGACATTTTGTTCAAAGCAACTAATCTGCTTTTGAGAAGCTACGCTCGAATCAAACGGTGGATTCTTGTGGATGCACGAGGGATCAATGATAGAAACCCAGCAGTAAGCAGCGATGACTTTTACCCATTAACCCCTTCAGTAGCTACTTTAAAACCATGTGCTGAATCTAAAGCACAGACCGAGGTAGTCGTCAGGCTGGGAAACGAGACGTCCCTCTGCATCGCTCGACACAACCAGATTCTAAATTGTTTGCTAATTCACACCTTTTGTTTGCAGTGTCTGTTTACTCATTTAATATTTTGTCTGTTTGCACTTGTTGACCTCTGCCCCCCGTCGCCTCGGCCAACAGTGATATGATCTCTTCATGAGCAGGACTTCTGTTTGTGTTCACATTACAGCGTTACAGAGGCAGCGGCTGCTCAAACAGCTCCTTCTGTTTCATGCTGTCTGACCCCCCCCCTGCTGATTGCAGCTCGATGCAGGCTGTAATATGGCCATTCGTGTCTCTGATTCCTCCTGCACGTCCTGTACTTTGGTACAGACCCATGATGGCTTCAGTCTGTGATTTCCTAACGCGCGTAGTTTGGGCCTCAAGTGACGAGAATACTGAGAAACTGACTCACCGGTCCTCCATGTAAACACATTCTTGAACTCTATGATTCATGTTTCTTTCCGGGCAACTCTACTCGTCTCTTGATGTTCCGACTCTGTATTTCAACGTTAGTCATGGAGAAAATTTTTTTTTAATTTTTTTTATTCTCCTCCTCTTTCTATCTCACAACCCCCCCCCCCCCCCCCCCCCCCCCAAGCCAGCCATGAATGAACTTTGGCTGAAGCACAATGTTTCTCACAGTAATGCTCTAATAGTGTAATTTGAGTTTAAGGGCCAGAGGTTGCTGTTTGAAGTTGATGTTGGATTCCCTGCTGCTGTGGGGGGGGGGGCTTTTTCAGATAATGACATGTAGAGCAGCGCGGCTCATATTTCATGGGTTCTGCTGCAATCCTAAAATGTAGTTTGAAGACGACCATTACCGAACTTGATTTTGAAATAGGACTCGGATGGCTCTATTTGGTTCAACTGTCATTACAAAGATGCAGACAAGATTCATATGTCCCATAACAAAGTGTGATGTTGACAAAATACTGATCTTAACTCGATCTAGTCTGCTGCTTTCTCGTCCCTTTCTTGTAAATTTAACTTCACAGCACATATTCCCTGGACTTTAACGCCAGTAGAAACATATTCAACCACGTAACAATTGACGATAAGGCTAAAAGCTAATTAAATGAGTAAATAGTTAAGTAGCTTGGCATTTCCGTGCTGCAATTTCTTGTAACTTATCGGCTGACATACAAAACAATGTCGACATACTGTAACTGTAAAGAGCTGAACAGAAACTACCGTATTCATTCTTGGCGTATGGGATCACATCTGTGATGCAGGGCGGTTATCATATTGACTGAGATGTTTGTTGACTTTTGTTTTCTCCCTGTTAAAGAGTTTGTGTGAAGAAGTCCTCTCAGGAGCGCCTGGCCCTGAAGATCCTCATTGACCGCCCCAAGGCCAGGAATGAGGTTAGCGTTACTCTGGCGGTTTTGATTAATGTCTGTTGTCTGTGGCTGGTTCAAAATGCTTTGTTCTGCCTGCCTGTTATCAGTCTCTATTTACTCCTGTTGTTCTTTCCTCGTCAATCCTGTGCCTCCGCTGTCTGTTTGTATTGCCGTCTTTGTTCGTAACATCGTCTCCGTGCCATTAGAAGACTTCTGTTTTGATCAAGCAGCTTACGCAGCAGTTAAGCAGTGAGACACGCAGTCAAAACAAGCAGCACAGACTCTCTTCACAAAAGCTTTCGCTGCTGAACTGTGAAAACTGTCACTAATAGGCAAATGCACACAGATTACTGCTAAACAATGTATTCCTCAGGCACTTGTATCATCTTTTTTTCTTTAGGGTATACCTCGATGCATTCTAGTTGTTTGTGTGTTTGCACAATGATTCAGTTTACATGTTTGGTTTATAAAGTCTCGGTCAGTCTTGCAAATGCCTTTTTTCTTATTCTGACGCTGCATCATTTCCAGAATAACTTGCATCATTGCAGTTGGAAGAAGCCTCCCTATTGGTTGCTCGGCATAGTTTGTTATATTTTTGTAGTAATCTATATTAACAGATTCTGCAATCTGTAGGCAACGGGACAAGATTTTGGTATCGGAGGCTTCTGTTTGTAGTTCCGAGCAGTGTTGACCAATCACACTCGAGCTGGCTTTGGTTAAATGCAGGTAAACGGTCCGTGTGGAGAGCAAAAGGGGCGGGACGCGTCGGCTGCAATGCAATCTCGGAGCCCACCGGCTATTGTCTGACTTTTTATTGGATTAAGATGTAAACTGGCCAAACAAATCAATGAAGGTAAAACTTATTTCTGTTCTGGTTCTTGTGTCACACAGCTCCACAGCTTAAGTACTAAACCACCTTCAGTTTCCAGTTTCCTTCTCTCTCTCTCTCTCTCTCTCTCTCACACACACACACACACACACACACACACACACACACACACTCCCCTGACCATTTCTGTAAACATGATGAAGGAAAATGATCCATAATGACATAAAGGTCAAAACACTTCACTAACACAGAATGCTGTGTCATCTGTGCTGTAGTTTAAACACATTTATCACTTCCTGTGGGATGCCGTTGTAGTTATTTTGCACAACTTTAAAATGAAACTCTGAACATATTTCAGTGAATTACAGTACGGTGTGTTTGATTCTCTTCCATTCAGGTGCGTCTCCATATGATGTGTGCCAACCACCCAAATATAGTGCAAATCCTGGACGTTTACGCCAACAGTGTCCAGTTCCCGCACGAGTCCAGCCCGAGGTAAAGATCTCTCTGAGAGAGAGAGAGAGAGAGAGAGAGAGAGAGAGAGAGAGA